AAGAAACTAGTGAAATGCTACATTTGGAGCATTGCTTTGTATGGGGCTGAAACTTGGACCCTTAGGGCAGTAGATCAGAAACACCTGGAAAGCTTCGAAATGTGGTGTTGGAGAAGGATGGAGAAGATCAGTTGGACCGATTATGTGAGAAATTAAGAAGTGTTATTTAGAGTCAGTGAGCAGAGGAATATCCTACACGAAATAAAACGGAAGGCTAATTAGATTGGTCATATCTTATGCGGTAACTGCCTTCTAAAAGAAGTCACTGAAGGAAAGACAGAAGGGCAGATAGAAGTGAAAAGAAGACGAGGAAGAAGACGTAAGAAGATGTTGGATGACCTTGGGGACAGAAGAGGATATTTTCATTTGAATGAGAAAGCTCTAGATCGCATCAAGTGGAGGAACTGTTTTGGAAGAGACTGTGGACCTGTCGTCTTGACAGATTACAGATGATGTGTACTGCAAATTTCTGTCCATTACGACAATATTTAAGGCTTCATTTCACTCCATTAAAAAAAAAAAGGTATCAATAATTTTTTGTCTTTTGTTTCTAAGTGCCTATTTTAGAAAATTTTCTTGCAGTCTTTTCAATGTGAGGATGTCTTCAGCTTGCACGCTGTTTTCTTTGGCCCACTTATAACGTGTGCTGAAGGCACTCATGGCATTGTGTCATATTGTGCAGATTATCAGTAGAGTACTTGACTCTTGGTCATTCTCGCTGTTGTAGTCCTCTAGCACAGTGTTATCTCTTCATATGTTATGATTTGAATATTTTCCTCCTCACTTCCAGCTAGCCAGTTACTTATGTCAGCAATTGTTGGACCTGAGGAGGCTTTTTCACACAGTTTGCCCATTGCTTCTTGGACATCAGAAGTTAGGACTGTACCATCATTTTCCGATTCTTCTGGCCCTGTGAGTTCACTGCTACCAGAGGATAATGAATGTGAAGACCACAACTTTTTTTCCAAGAGGAAATTATTGTTTTAGGAGGTATATTTTGCCATGCATATACAATGTTAAAAACTACTTCTCTGAGGTTTGTTCATTTCAGACACTGAATATCATTTTCGCTTATTACATTGCATAGAAGGCTCTTTTTGTAATGTGACTTCACACACTGTATAACATTCTGATCCACTGGTTGCAGAAGTGGGGTGCAGTTTGGTGGTAAGAACATTACCTCTATTAAACCATCTCTTGATTTTAACTGTTTTTCACTTGGGTGTCCATGAGCATTATCTAAAATTAATAATGCTTTAACTGGTAAATTTTGCTTTTTAAGAAATGTTTTTACTGATGGCTCAAAACTTTCACGGAACCATTCAGCACAACCACAAATTTGGCTTTTGAATATGACTAGAAGACTTTGGTTTTTAAATAATATGTGCTTTGCCACCTTACCAATCACCAGCATTTCAAGTTCGTGGGTGCCATTTGCATTTGAACAAGGCATGAACGTAATTCAGTCTTTGGATATTTTGTGCCTGGCTGCACTTTCTTCATCTCGGTGGACAAAAGTTTTGTGGGCAAGAGCCTCCAAAATAGACCACTTTCATCTGCGTTGTATACCTGCTCTAGACCAAGACATAGTCAATTTTTCCTTGGAATTTTCTCATAAAAGGATCAACAGCTGTGATGTCATAAGATAATTTCTCTTCTGTTATGGTTCGAAAACAGATTGCAGATCGCTTTTTAAATTTATCTACCCATCCATTGCTTGCTCTGAAATCATCTTTTTTCTTGATCATTTTGTAGAAATATTTTGCCTTCCCTCGAATAATTTCCCCAGTAGTAGGAGTGTGTCTATCATATTCTTGTAAGAACCAAGGGTAAAGACCATCTTCCAACTTCAGGGTACCTCCATATTTTAGAGTCTGCCTGTCGCTGGGGCCACTGTCAGTATTTTTCACAAAACACTCTATCTTCTCTATATTTTTCCTGATATTGTATATCATAGCACATTGAACACCACACTCTTTAGCCAGTTTAAAAAGTGTGTTAAGTTTTCTGCTTTAGCACAGTTAATCCACCGCTGTGTGAAAAGTATAGGGCTACTATAAATGATTCATTCGTTTTTAAAATGCTACATTTTCCAAAACATTATATGTACAAATATGATTGATATATATAAAAAGAACCGTAAAGTCATCAAGCTTTCTTCACACTCTACAAATGTTCTATGGGTGCCCCTTGGGTCACACGACACACGTCCAGGCTGTAGTCGAGCTCGTTCCACACATTTTGTAGCATCATCCTGTCAATGGTCATCACTGCAGCATTGATGTGTTCCCTCAGCTCTACTAGTGTTCTTGGAAGTGGGGGTACGTAAACACGATCCTTAATGTANCAACGGGTTAATGTACCCCAAAGGAAGAAGTCACAAGGCGTTAGACCAGGTGATCTGGGGGGCCAAGTGAACAGAGCTACGTCATCCTCACCAACACGCCCAATCGAGTGATGCCGAAGTTCATTGTTTAGGTAGCGACGAACATTGCCGATACCAACGCAAAATGCTTTGTTTACATGGCAGTTCTTTTCCGTACTCTCTTTTGAATGTGCGTTGCACGGCTATAACAGACGAACATCTCGCATATTCCAACAAACAAAAACTCTTTTCTTGCTTTGTCGCCATTTTGTAAAGGCACTGAACTTTTGCTGCCATCTGGTGCACACAATACAAACTTGGCGAGTTTATGGTTCTTTTTATATATCAACCATATTTGTACGTGTAATACTTTGGAAAATGTAGCGTTTTAAAAACGAATGAATCACTTATAGTAGCCCTGTATTTTACAGGAATTTACAGCACTGAAGAACTGAAGCACTGTGTACTAGTGAGGGTCTAAACAAGTCAGTTTGTCAAGCTTGACTGAACACAAGTCAGCCTCTGCTACCTGCAGAAACCTAAACAAGGTTGCAGATGCTATGTCTGGCACATGGTGCCAGATTACTGGATGTGTCGGACTAGCACATGTCTGGATTCCTGAGACTGTGCTGTAATTATAAGTGATGAAGAGGTGGTAGAGAAATTAAAGCAGACAATCTTCCTGTTGTTAAGGGACTGTCTTACCTTGCAAAATATTGTGAGCTTGTCATCGGGCAACAGACCGTTCGCTTCATCCAACAGGAAGTCTCTTCGAATGAATTTCTTGAAGCCCCAGTCTTTGCCTTGCACGAATCGGTATGCACGCTGGCTCTCTAGAATCACAACATTTGATTTGAAGATACTCAACTGTGGATCATATGATAATTAATTACGTGGTAATCTTGTCAGTTAAATGTGAAGGTTCTCAACCTATCTGTCATGAAGACTAGCACCAAATACTGTATCATGAACATGACAACTCACAACTCAAATCAACAGAGTAGTTTCACCCACTCTTTAAAATACGAAGATAGAAATATAACACTAACTGAACACATGTCTAGAAATGGGTCTACATACAATTTTAGAACCACTTCACGTGCAGTTTAGACAACTCTGTACCACCTTTAATGAAGTTTCTTAGATCTGAACCATTCCAAATCCAATACAGTAATGAAGTTCATAGTACAATACAGAACACATATTTCTACTAAACTTTTAAATCTCAGTAATTATTACATGTTTCAATTGCTCTAACACTAAAAAATTCTGCACTCTGTCCACACAGCATATTTACGTTTTTTGTATGACTCTAGAAAAAAAAGTGTGATTATTTCTCTTAACTGATTTGCTACCATAATGGAGATGGTGTCTTTCGTGAGGTAAGGCCTGAATCTGCAAATATCGGATTAAGTCAGGCTTCACACAAAATGAATTATTCTCTTTAATTCTCTCTATAGTTTTTAATGATGAGTTTTAAAGAATCCATTCCATCAAGACCCATTTTATTTTCCTTCCAACTGTGCAGTCTGTACAGTCTGAGGCATTCATGATCTGACTTTTTTATTGTGGATACCACTGGTACCCACCTTGCAGGCTACATGGTGTCATAACACTGAAGACCACAATTTTCAAGTATTCTTACCCATAGCTTTGGTTTCTTCTCTTTTGGCATTAAGTATTGAAAATTTGAACTTGGCTCTGACTTCTGACTTGTTACATGAGACTAGAAGCAGGTACATGAGAGGTAGTCTTTGCTTTCTTCATCCAGACCCTTTGGATTCACCCGCAAACACCTGGAAGATAACATACACATTAAATTTACCATCTGCACACCCAAATTAAATGTTAATATATAAAGGCTGTTCAAATGAAACCTGTTTACAACATTCGTACAAATATGGCTTGACACATGCGATCGCATTGCTCTGTGCATGACACTCCTGCAGTTGACCATGAGGTGTGCCACAGAACAGGTGCAGTAGGGCAAACAGGAACAATTTGATATGGTTAAATGCTGGTGTTATGGTCCAGAATCTGTCCAAACAGGGCCAATGAAGGGCCACTCTGCTCTGTTCAAGAATCCCAACATCATTAACGTACCGTATTACTATGGAACCCTCTGAGACCTCTTATTACCATTACAAGAAAACAGTCAGGCATGGTCATGAGGAGTGTCATCACCAGGGCCCGGATTTTGATGACCTGAAAATATTTAAAAATGACCTAAAGGAGAAAAGAAAGAACACTTCGCTTCCATGTCATTCACATTTCAGAAAACATATGAAGAAAAATTCCCAAAAATGGCCAAAAATGACAAGAAATACCCTTAAAAGTCCAAAAATTTACCAAAAAATTACCCCCAAAATGAAAAAATGGCCTTAAACCTAAAAGTGTAAAAAAATGACAACAAATTACCTATAAAATTTACATTTCTGTAACCAGCAGTTCATATCTGAGATTTATATACGTATTTAAGAGTATCACATAGGATGCAAGGAAAAAAAGACAACATGTCATCAAAATCCGGGTCCTGGTCATGACGCTGCATGTCAGTATCTATCCTCATGTAGCCCAGACTGCTTGGGACATGTTCTATGTGCCGGAAAATTCTGGGTCATCTCCCATATGCCCACACCCATCAGCACATAACTTCCATGTGTTTGGCGCTTCAATAAAATGCTGAAGGGCTGCAGATTCGGGTCAGGTGCAGATGTCATGGTAGGGCGGTGAAGCAGTTCCACCAGCAGCCTGGAGACTTCTTTGAAGGGGTGATCCAGTGGATGGAGCATCATGAGCAATGGGGTGCCTGCCTCACTGACCACAGGGAATATTTTTAAGGTCTTCTACTGCTTTGCTCAGAACAATCCCTGAACAAATTTCATTTGAACAAACCTCATACTAAACAGTAGCATATGAAGTGTTTTTGAATAAATTCATATGAGGACACCATGACTGGTAAAATTTAAATGACACATGTTTTTGATGAATTCTTTAACTAACGTATGCGTGGCAAAGCAAAATTCCACTTCAAGCTTTTTTATATTCAGAGTTTTATCATCTGGAACATAATAGAAACTCAACTGATGGTTTTGAGGAGGGTGTTGCCTTCATTTTTAGGGCCAAAGATTAAGCCAAGCAAGAAACCAATGTGAAGCAGGTAGCAAGCACAGTCAAGCTTTTCTTTTTTGCTTGACTTATTCTATGGTCCTGAAGATGCAGGCGATGTCTTCCTCTGAAATGTTGACCAATTTTCAAAGGACTACACATCATTAATTCCAGGAGACAGAACTCTTCATAACCTCCACCACAAGAACCTCAAATCCTACATTTTTATATCCATATGGTAAACCATATTTACCTATTTCTCCTCATTTCACAACTTTGCACAGTACTATTAAAATTGCTCTCTCCACCTGTCTGTACATATGAAACAGCTCAAAAACTGCTCACTGATATTGGGAGCAGACTTGGCCTACAGTCTCCCAGCCTCCTATCTGACGGATATTGGGGGCTATCTTGCCAGGGGCAAAGTGGCTTGTGTGTAAAGTTGGCCACTTACCTCCATCCAGTTCTGTGGTTAAGAATGCACAGAGATTTACCTGCACTCCCTCATTAATCTTCCTGTCATGGTGCTTAAGCACAGGGGAAACTCTATTTTACTTTTAGTGGGAACAGGTTCGATTGTATATGCTTCAAATTTTCAACCAGTCATTTGAAGTCACTAGCATCAGGCAACCACTTACCATTTGAGCTTATCATTGGCCCCAGCAGAGAATGTGGATGACTTGAGAACTTCACCCATTTCTTCACGACAGAAGCTGAAGTTGTTGATGGTCCACATATAGCTGAACTTTACCACTTTAACCTGAAAACATGCAATGGCGAATAATAGATGTCAAGTGCATACACAAATCCATTATTTAAACTCAGAATTTGGAATCATGACATTTCCTCAATCTATAAAAGAATTCCAGAAACATTATGCAGGTCCGGAGGTTGTCAAATATCTGAACTCATATATTGAATATGTATCAGTATTTTGATGACAATAGTAATACTGGCTGGTCACGGTAGCCGAGCTAGTAAATCGAAGTGAAATGGAGAGTTTGATGGAGGTAGGCCAAGGCACAAAATGGGTTGTAGCCCCAAAGGGGGGGAAGTAATAATAATGAACACATAATAAAGTTTATTCAAGGGAGAAATCTTACAATTCAAGTTTTGCAGAAAATTATCCCCAACTGAAGACTGTCTTAGAAATGTTTGGGGTGTTTACAATGAGAGAATCTAAGTACTGCAAACCATACTAACTTATTCTAAATGTTATGGCTGTTATAATAGAATTTGTGTTAGGTGCATGTCTGTAATCTGTCATCTTTCTCCTTTATGTCTTCAACTGTCCTAGATAAATACTGTCAGGGGAAAAACTGATATTTCATTATTTTCGGTGATTTCATCTGACTGCATTTTTTTCTGCAGAAATAAATGCTGAGTTAAGCACAAAGGATTAACATGAGGGCTATATTACATAACATAAAGTTGTCACTGTGCCATGCCAAGAAGGCACATCATCACACATTCTTAAACCTAGCATAGGATGGAGGTAATAAATTTCACGCTCCAGCCCCTTTACCCTTGGGAACAGGCCAGACCTGCCCACGTGCTTTGCTTAGACATGCTGGTGAATAGTAAAAAAACCTTCATCACACCTAAACAATGCAGTAAATACACAGCTTATGTGCAGTACGCGGTACATGCCTCGGGCACTAAGCTACATGCCGGAAGGTCGCGGGTTCAAATCCTGATGTCATTGAATTTTTAAACTGACCTAATCCTTCCATGCACATTATGGCCCTGGGGGTCGACTCAGCCTCTAACAGAAATGAGTACCAGGAATCTTCCTGGGAGGTGAAGGGCGGCCGGCGCGTAAGGCTGACAACCTCACCGCTATCTGCGAGACGAGTGTCTACAAAGTATAGGAGCCTCAACGTCTCACAATCCTATGGGCCTCCACAGCCTCTTACAGGGATAGCTTTGCTTTTTTTTTTTTTTTTACTCTCAACATAGGCAGGTCATGAGTTCAATGCCCAACCATTGCATTCGGTTGAACTGGAACATTATGCCAGGGTTGAATGCTCTGTAGCAACCTTTGGGCCTAGAACAACTGAACAGAACAGTCACGGAGAGGAATGAAAGGAACGGAAGGAGGAAGAACAATACCAAAGAAGGACACAGGTCGGTAAAACGTGGGCGGACTAACTAATGAGCATTAAAGAAACAGAAAACTTGACTGGTGAGAATTTGAAAGAAAATAATGTAAAATAAATATGCAAAGATGAGTCTCGGATGGAAAAGGCGATTATAAAAGAAGTGACGGAGGAGAAAGGGAAAGTCTAAGAGGAAGGACACGTACCTGAGTGTAGCACCAGTTCTCTGCGACGGGCGTATTGACCTCGGGTGGAGGGGGCGAGGGCACACGGGACACGGCCATGCCAGCTGCGCTGCCCGAGCTAGCCGCTGAGGCCGCCCCACTGCTGCTACTGCTGCTGGTGTTCGAGGTGGCCCGCGGCGTCTGCTGCTGCGAGCACTCGCTCACCACCGGCAACCTACGAAGACGTAACACATCAAACATTTCGCCTATCCTCAAAATATTGCATATTATCACGACAGCCAAGGTATGGATTGGTGAATGCATATATTGACCACACACACACACACACCACTCGAACTGCAGGTAATTACAGCGCTGATCTCCACACAATATGCCACAATATGCAGTACTGAAACTCGCGCATGTGCGTTTGTCGACGGGGAATAGCTCCAGCCGCACGTGTTCCCAGTGGTGAAATGGAAGTTGTGTTGTGCAGTTGTTGGAAACGGGTCTCTCAACGGAGAAAAAGTATTCATAGTTGAGTATTATTTCCGCTCATGCGGAAGTGGTCGACAGACAACTCGCTTCCTTGGTTTTGAGCGGCCAGATGCTATCGTCCAGAAGCCGCTACACAGTACACGTGTGACGATATGGTGTGCCGTCTCAGCACACGGTATATTAAGCCCTTATTTCATTGAGGATGAGGAAGGCAATGCTCTTACCGTCACCCAAGAACGCTACAGGGACATGGTGATCGGACAATTTCTTCAGGATTTGAGAAGGTTCTGTCGTGCAAGGGGCCTTCACATGAAAAGACTATCTTTTCATTTCAGTACTGTAATTTTTGGGGCATATTGTACCACAGCACCCACTAACCCCCTTTCAAGCTTGTGTCTTCTTTAGCCGTTCTCTGCCAAAGGCTTCTAACAGTGGCGCTCAACTCAACTCGCCCACTTTGCATAGGTCGAGTTAACTATTGTTGTGTTCGTATTCGTTGCTGCGTGAACGTGTTTACCGATCCGCTGTCTAGAAACGGTTTGCATAACACCATTGTTTATTCGCTTATTGCACAGCAACGGCTGGACACTCCATAATATTGTCGCGTATTGGCTGTGTGACGCGACACGAATAACTTCAAGCAGGTCTCGGATTTGGCGAATGTTTATTGGGCACTCGCTTTTACACTTACACAATTCACAGTATCACTTATAATGCCCTCTAGACGCTCCTCCGTCACGATCACAACTCTCGCTGCTCTCGGCGACTGTTAGACTTCAATTCATTCGCCTATATTGTTGAAACGCGGACATCGTAGAAAACGCCGCACTCCCATTGTTGCCTTGCGTGTATTCGGTCGCGAGATGTTTCGCCATTAGTTACCTGTGTCCATCCACGTCATATTATTATACCTCATGTTTTGAGCCAAGCCCCTCATCTGCCCCGGCCGCAGATTTAAAGCACTCCCGTTTTCGCTACCCTTTCGGAACACCACATTCTAAGTCCCCCCGATACTTACCGGCTTCTCTGAAACATTTTCGGTAAGGTCCATATGCAGTTAGTTTGGACGTTTTCCAAAGAACACAGTTCGTACTCTCTGCCTATTATCGTTACAAGCGATTAAATCACATTTACGACAAATCTGGGGGGAGGGGGTGACTAAATATTATCCGGGCGTTAAAGATCAAGGAGAACAACTGGACGAGACATGGAACATGTATAGGGGTAAAATATATTGAAACTTAAATTCACTTAGTGGGGGTGGAGTCCAGCTGGGTCCACTCGGCACGGCGGCCACTGATTGGCCTATTGTAGCCTGCCCCGGGTGATTATGATGGAGAATTTGGTGGAATGAAGATTGGCAGGGGAAACCGAAGTACTCTGAGAAAACTTGCCCCAGCGCCACTTTCTCCACCATAAATCCCACTTGACAGACCCGGGCTCGAACTCGGGGCGCCTACATTGAAACTTTGCCGGAAAAAGTGACCGGAAGAACTCACGTGCGAGACCTTGGCAGCGTTGGGAGGCTCTTAAAGAAATGGGACGTAAAGGCGCGTTTCCACTATGCCAAAGTCCATGGACCGTCTCCCCAGTCAATGTCATTGGACATTCTGCTCGTTCCGTTTTTAGAAGCCTGTTCGGAGACCGAGTTCCACCCTCGCGTTGGTGAGACCTGGGAGCAGGGTCGGGATATGATGAAGTGCGCAAGCACTAACTTCCTGTAACAACGCTCTCTTCTCCCTGTATCAATTCAATTTGTTTTGTGCAACTATTTGCCTCAACACAAGCTAATGACGAGGGCCGCGCCATAGCTCAAGCGGTTAGTCGCTGGCTTCCCGGGATCCCGGGTCTGGTCAAGTGGGATTTGTGGTGGAAAAAGTGGCGCTGGGGCAGGTTTTCTCCGAGTATTTCGGTTTCCCTTGCCAATCTTCATTCCACCAATTGCTCCACAATCACCCTCACCTATCATCTGGGGCTGGTACAATAGGCCAGAAGTGGCTGCTGTACAAGGAACTTCATTCATTCATTCATTCATTCATTCATTCGTTCATTGTTGGAGGAAGTGGGTTTCCCCAAGCACTTAGACCAGTTATTGGTCCATTGTGCATCCCCCTTTAATTTCTACTGTCTCCATACCTTACCGGTACTGGTGCCCGTTATCAGCCCCTTTCTGCCAGCTAGGTCGGTCCTCATCTGGCAGTGGTACCTAATACTTTCCCCAGCTACCGGAGGCATTGGAAACTACTTGGGCGGGGAAAACTTTCCTAATTTAGCTCAGAGGTCTCCTACAGACATGAGGTTCTTTTACGTGCCGTAAATCTACGACACGGGACCCATGTCTTAAAGTCCCTCCCGGAGGACTTGTTCCCTGAATTTTTTCCGCCCTTAAAAATTCTATGACCTCCGCAGGGTTTGAACCCGCGTACCTTGAATCATGAGGTGGGAACGTTACAAGGGACTTAGTCCCACCCCACTAGCACTAAAAGAAAAAAGCTAATGGCGTGACCGAAGTATGTAGCAAAATTAATTTAATTCAGGAACAGAATAGAAATAAAGAAAGAAGACCCTCTCTTTCGGGAGTGAATGCTCATGCGTACAAAAACGGAATAATAAAGGCAGACTGTTTGGATGAAACTGCAAAACAGTTTGGAGTGACGTCTGTTACAGAATCCGTGCGGCCAGTTTCAAAGACTGCATTTGAAAGTTAAACAAAAAAAATTATTAAAATTGGAGCAAGTGCAGATTAAATTTACATCCCTGACTGGTACAATACCAGTTGCCGAAGTTTCTAGGCAGCGATGAAAATGAGAGAGAACATGAAGAGGTGTTTGATCAATTATGTCATATACAAATAACATAATTACTATATTAGTGGTACGTATATTGCTATATTACTCAATATATACGTGCATTAATTTGTATATTATGAGGTTATTGTTAACTGACAGGAGGATGGAGAAAACTGCATAATGAGGAGCTTCATAACTTGTACTCTTCTCCAAGTATAATTAGAATGATCAAGTCAAGTCAGATGAGGTGGGCAGGGCAAGTAGCACGAATGGTGGAGAAGATGAATTGTCACGTGTTGGGTGTATGTCACACGACAAATAACTTCACGCCGTCTTGGGACTAGCGAATTTATTGCACTCCTCTCACAATTACACAATTCAGAATTACACCACTACTGCCATCTGCAGTAACACAATTACTTTTTCTGCTGGAGTCACTGCTGTAGCTTCCGTACTGACAACACAGAAAACAGTTACGTCATAACTACCATTGTTGCGTAACGTCGTGTTTACAGGGGTTTCTGGGGGAATGCTGCCGAGAGTTGTTTTTTGCTGTGTAGTAACCCAGGTGTCCCTTGTTACGTCGCCGCGGGGGACGGGGACGGAGTGTTGACTGGCCTATTACCGTAGCAGCGGCAGTACCTCCGATGCTGTTACGTCACCGTTGGAGGGGGGGTGTTTACCGAGCGCTGCGCCGTCCGCGTCACAATATTGTTGGAAAAGCCAGAAGGAAAGACACCACTGGGAAGACCATGGCGTAGGTGGGTGGACAATATTAAAATGGATCGTAGAGAGATAGGATGGGATGGTATGGATTGGATTGATCTGGCTCAGGATAAGGACCAGTGGTGGGCTCTTGTGAACACGGAAATGAACTTTCGGGTGTCATAAAATGCTGGGAAATTCTTGAGTAGCTGCACAATTGGCGGTTCAAGAAGGGCTCAGCTCCATGAGTAAGTAAGTAAGTAAGTAAGTAAGTAAGCTAGTACATCTTACTTAAACAGTAATAACACATAAAAATACTAAATACAAAACTACACTAGTATTAATTTTGCTACGAAAGCGACAACTCCATCGAACTTCTCTTGCCAGTAAGCTTTCCCAACTTCGCTGGTGCATGAGGCCAAAGAACTTCTATTGCAGTTGCGAATGAAAATAATGCCATGCAGTTCTCTGCGAAGGAACAAACACATGCTCACGTTAACATGGAAAAGTAGAGGAGTAAAATACATTGAAACTTAAGTTCGCATAGCGGGGGGTGGAGTCCAGCTGGGTCCACTCGGCACGTCGGCCACTGATTGGTCTATTGTACCTGTCCTGGGTGATTATGATGATGCAGAATTTGGTGGAATGAAGATTTGCAGAGAAAACCGAAGTACTCTGAGAATACCTGCCCCAGCGCCACTTTGTCCACCACAAATCCCACTTGACCAGACCCGGGATAGAACCCGGACCGCCGCGGTGGGAAGCCAACGACTAACCCGCTTGAGCTATGGTGCGGCCGACTGTTGTAGCTGCTTGCGGTGGCGATCCGTAGGTGGTCAGTAAATCCGACATCCAATCCGGAACCCCGTCGAATGACACTAACACGTGACAGTATTTAACACACATATGCGTGTGGAAAACGTTTGAAGAAATACTTCTGATTCACTAGTGCGACTTCTGCAAAACGATTTACAACAAAAAAAAAAACTTTTTTGGATTATCTTCAGCAAATTAACACCAAGGACAATGATCTGAGGGACGTAAGAATGTACATTTGGTAAACCGGTTTACTTCAGTGGAATACACATATAACATCTTCTTCAAAAGACTGCTATGCTCATTGTGATCAAACATGAAAAGCGATACGCAAGTAATGTCACATGCAGGATCTGTAATTAAAAAATAATTGATGTTACTAGTCCCACGTAGCCGGTCACGGTAGCCGAGCGGTCTAAGGCATGTA